ATAGAATATTTGGTACAAGGTTATTACGTCCTTGACTAGACCAATAACTAACAACAACATTGATTTTGAACCATTATTAGTTTTGGAGTAATAACCATTTTAAGGCCGAAAACGGTCCCTCTCAGAAAAGTCTATTAAAAAATGTATCTATAAATAAATGAGTCGACAGTTATGCAGGTGTGAATACACTCATGCGGACCAAACAACCAGACCAATGCCCATTTCTTGAGCTGGTCTCAGTCCCTTTCTACACAAACTCCGGTGCAGTTCACTTCTAGGTTGAATACGAACCACCTACAGGAAACATGCGCCTTTTTGGACTTTGCAGGGCCACTGTTCCCAAGCAAAATTAGCCCTTCAGTGTTGCTAAAGCTAATGATGAGCAGTTGTGGGTCAGGGTACAAGGAGCATCTTGTCTACTTTGGGTTGTGGCACACAGTTGTCGACGCCGTCCCAAAAATTAGAAGTATAGCATGAAACCATCGTTAAATGAGCTGCTCTTGAATTTCTAAATGGTACTGCAGTTTTGGTAAATGGTAAATGGACTGTACTTAAATAGCGCCTTTCTATCTATCCAGGACACTCAAAGRGCTTCACACTACAGATATTCACCCATGCACACACACATTCACGCAATGATGATGGCAAACTACACTATACTGGGGCACACTGARAGAGGTGAGGCTGCCATACACAGGTGCCACCGAACCCTCTGACCACCATCAGTAGGCAAGGTGGGTGAAGTGTCTTACCCAAGGACACAACGACTGAGTTGACTGTACGGGGATCGAACTGGCGACCTTTCAGTTCCAGGACGACTCTCCTAACCACTCTGCCACAGCCGCCCCAGCTTTTTAACTGCATTGTCTTTATTTCTGGGTCTGTGCTCTGTCCTGCCRCGTCAATTCTGTCCAATGGGAGCAATGACCATCACCCGTGTGGCTTTGTTTATAAATTATAGTCCGCTTGCAAAAAAATCAGACTGTGAGTGCAAACTGTTCCAGACCGAACAAATGGACCACTTTCCTGATGTGAATACACTCTAAATAATAATAACATGATTGGGGTGTTTGGTTATTTTCAGCACCGAGCCTTCGGTCAGACAGCGACAGTGAGCTCTCACCTTCTGACTCTGGGGAGGACGAAGAAGAGGATGCCTTTGAAGAGCAGAAGGCAAAGAAAGAGAACAAAGACACTTTGAGAAACTCACAAACTCCCAATAAAAAGTTATCTGCAGCTCTCTACAAGACTCCTGCAAAAAAGACCAAGACCACAGCAGAACTCCTCAACCAGCCCACCATGACCGAGGAGTATTTTGAGGCTCATGGTAGCTCGAAGGTCCTGACGTCTGACCGGACCCTTGAGCGTTTGCACACCCCTAAACTTGACAGGGTTTGTAAATTACAGCCAGTGTTCTAAATCATGATTTTTTAAGGCTCAGGCAGAATTCATTTATTATTTTTGTTGTTTTACAGGAGACTCTGACTCGTCTTTTAGAAGATAAACCATCCTGTTATTTCAAAGAGATGCAGCAGCTGCAGAACAAACACAAAAAGCACTTTAACAAATGGATGTTACAGTTACAGTAAGCATGGCTGCCTTCCTTTGTCTTCACTTTCAAAGTGTTTTAACCTTGGCTTTAAAACATTTACATGTCTGTGTTTGGCTTTAGATTGGGGTTCAGTGTTCTGGTCTACGGTTTGGGCAGCAAAAAGGCTTTGCTGGAAGACTTCAGGGAGTCTCATTTGTCACAGGAAATCCATCTTGTGGTCAACGGATTTTTCCCTTCTATTACTCTTAAATCAGTCAGTAGTATCATTTTTTAAGAGTGCACACTTAATAAAAACTTTACATACAGTATATCAGGATTGTTCATCTACCAAACAAAGCTTTAATAGATCTGCTTTTGCCCCGGCATTTCATCAGTCATTCTGTGGTTTTATTCCAGATATTAAACGCTCTGACAAGTGAGGTTCTGGAGCTTGAGGGAAGTTTTCGAACCCCCTCAGATCAAATCCAGTTCATCTCTCAGACTCTGAAAGAACGTAAGCGTYTGAACCGTCTTCTCATCTTGCTTTTATTTTCTTTTATTCGGTTTCTTTGACATTGTCCAGCTTGTCCTCGCAGGGTCAGATTTCCACGTGTATGTGATTATRCACAACATCGACGGCCCAATGCTGCGAGGAGAAAAGACCCAGAGTGCACTGGGGCAGCTGGCCTCCCTGCCAAACCTGCACCTGGTGGCCTCTATAGACCACATCAATGCCCCGTTAGGTGAYCTATAGTACCAGTTCAGTTCTGCGGTTTCAGTCTCAGCGATCGCAGCTAACTGTTGTATTTCATGCTTCCAGTGTGGGACCAGTTCAAACAGAGTCAGTTCAATTGGCTGTGGTGGGAGTGTGTGACGTTCCAGCACTACACAGAGGAGACGTCATATGAAAACTCGCTCCTGGTGCAGCAGACCGGTGCTCTGGCTCTGTCCTCCCTCACACACGTGCTCCGCAGCCTGACACCCAATGCAAGGTACCGCGTGTTGGTTTCATGTATCYGGATTTGAGAAAATGGAGAACTGTAATAACTGCAGAGGGGGTAAAGTTGATGAGCCGTGGAGATACAGGAAAGAGATGTTGAAGCCAGGTGAAGATGTGAGGTAATGTTCAGTGAGCAGCAGTACGGCTTCYTGATGGGAAAAGTTCTACAGATGTTTGCTTTGAGCATGTTGAATCGAAAACCTACATCCAAAAACTGTTCAAAGAAGAACTCCCAGAAACTCCTAGACCCAACAACAGTTAGCTAAACAAAGTGACGTGGTGCAGCAACTGCACTGCCTGGCCAAGAAWAAAGTCACCACTTGGATTTAACTAAGCAAGTACTGGTAGGTACGAACCTSCTAGTGGAAAATTACTGCTGYGTGGTTATCTTTCAGCTGGCAACAAGTTATTTAACCCCTGCTGGTGCAGTGAGTTACWTCTCTTTTCTTAAACCAGYGTTTCTCAAACTTATTGGGTCTGAGGACCCTTTATAGAGGTGAAAATATCCCAGGGACCCCCTCATGCCGATTTAAACTGATTCACTGCCATTTTAATGCCTAAATTCCATGAGAATAATTACTGTTTGACTGGTGCATTGTTCCCCTTATTCATTTATGAAGTTTTTTTATATGAAAAACAAAATTAACAGTTTATTACAATTTTTTGAGGACCCCCAAGTTATAGCTCGTGGACCCCTGGGGATCCTAGGACCCCAGTTTGAGAACCTCTGTCTTAAACAACAGTGTAGAAAGACACATCCTGTGGTCGTGGAGAACCTGTCAGTCGGTTTGAAAAGGCTCAAATCACTGGCATCAAGCAGAGAAAACATTTAAGGAGATTGTAGAAACTGCTAAAATTGTGTTAAAAACTGTCCAACGCATTATTAAAAACTGGAAGGATAGTGGACCCATCGTCTTCAAGGATGCACCCATCATGCATAGTGCCTCTGTGCCTGTGGGGGCAGGGCTATGATGTGGGGTCGCTGCAGTTGGTCAGGTCTAGGAAGATTATCCAAACAATAGTTACATTAACATGGACATAAGTAATCGGATTAAACAGCCATTCAGAATAAAAATGTGTCATGTAAAAACCCCATTCGGATTATTCTGATCTGATTCAGCTCGATCTGAATGAATTTGTAATCGGAACGAGAGAGGTGGTTTATGCCGACTGATAATCTGAACAGGGAGCATGTAAACACTTAATCTGATCATCTTATTCTGATTGTTGAAAACTGACCTGACTGCGCATGTCTGTGCTGCTATTCTGAATAAAAGTCCGGTGCACGTAAACTCTCGTCATGATCGGATTGTCCCACCAGCGAACACTTTTGCTTTTCATTTAAGAAAAATCTCTTCCCTGTTGATCGTCACTTATAGTCGAGTCTGAGCTGACTCAAAAGGAGTGTGCCCACTGGTGAGACGTGCAGTATGAGTGACAGGTGGTTTTAAGGCAGGGGTGGGATTACATCAGAAATCAGCTCTGATCCCCTTCTTGTCTGTAATGACAGACATGATGCAGGTTGAGTCCACATGAACTGTGATGTTTGCAGATATCGTGATCTCAGCAAATCAGGTTCTTACCAGAGATAATTACAGTCCATCTAAAAAAAAAAAGCACATTGTCAGACAAATAACATGATTCTGTATTTTTTATTTTATTTTAATTTAACAAAAGTCTTACTGAAGTAGTTTTTGGGGTATGTTTTACAAAGCCAAATTGTTTATTAAATGTTTTTGTCATATTTGATCTGATAAATAATCGTTTAGGAGTAGAAAATAATGCTTTGTAAAGAGTTATTCTTAGTTTTCAGCCTTTTTTAGATGTGATATGTAAAGGCCCTGTCACACTGGAGAACTTATGCCATCTTATAAAACATTTTTATGTCTAAATTGCTAATAAAAGTTATACAGTATATMTGATCAATTTGTTAGAATTACTTTATGTACACGCCAAAAAGAAGCTTCCTGGTCATTTTTTCAGTTCCGTCTTTAATGTAGCCGTCTTTAAAATGTTCATAAGTTGTCTAGTGTGACACGGCCTTTAAGCAGTTTCTCATAGGTTTTAATTTATTTTAAATAGTTCACGATAAATGATTTATCATTTTATTTAGAACTGATCAAATGTCAACTTACTAGTTCTTGCATCTTTCCAACGATTGTCTTTTCTTTCCTTTCAGAGGAATCTTTAAACTGTTGGTGCGATTTCAGCTGGAGAACAAAGACAACCCTTCATATACAGGTGTGCAAACATTTAACCCCTGAACCGATTCAACGGCTCTTCTCACATCTTACTGCAGAGCTGTGAACGTTTCAATCTGCGTGCAGGATTATCATTCCAGGACTTCTACCAGCGTTGTCGCGAGGCCTTTCTGGTCAACTCTGACCTCACTCTGAGGACTCAGCTGACCGAGTTCCGGGATCACAAACTGATTCGGACACGCAAGGTGAGCGCCGCTTTGGATTTCCCTCCGTGCAGCAATTCAATTACCTGCAACTTCCCCCGCTGTTAAATCTGCACGTTGTTTTCTGTTGCTCCAGGGTGGAGATGGAGTGGAGTACCTGGTGGTGGCCGTGGATATAAACACGTTGATGGACTTCCTGGAGAACGAGGACGAATGAAACACCAGACCAATCGTTTCAAGCACATTTTAGCTGTCGATCGCTGACATAAAAATCATTTCCAATTGTTTTAAYTAGATATAAAACAAAACCAGTGTTTTAAATTAGATTATTAAAATGTTTGGCCCAAAATGCACTTGCTGTATTCACGTTTTCAGAGTAGATCTTGGCAAATAAAAGCAACACTTTGAGTTCAGTTARTGCTGATAAGCGTCTTTAATTACAGAAATAGTCACATTTAGCAAAACATACATTCTTTAGTTCTTACAAGGCATGTGGGCATGCAGCTATAAAAAATAAATAAAAATCAAAGGAAATGGTGATTAGACCTGGCCATAAAAGGTGGCAGTGAAATTAAATGCAGTGCATTTTTCATGCAGAAAGCATCAGAATGTATGTTTGTATTTAATCCCAGAGTTTGAGTCGTACATGGATAAGGGAACGCGCGATGCTGTAAAACATGTCAGTGCTGAATGTCGGCCGCTTTCTGAGCCGGAAGTCTTTGCTCGTCTCCTGAGTGGAGCGTGTACGTGTGCAGTCTGGTCTGTGCGGCCGTGTGAACAACACGGAGCTCCTCTTCATCCAAGTCCCTCAACAGAAGCAGAACTGCATCCAGGATGTGAGTCTGACGAGACAGATCAGAAATCAGATGAAAATACTTCCAGTACTTCTCAGATTCAGGTGGGAGCTGCTGGCTGAGGTTACCCTTCTCATGGTTTGTCTCTCTAGAGTAGAAGGAGAGGATGGAGAGGAGAACTTCTCCCTGGAGAGAGGCTTCATTCCCAATTCTTCTCTGATTTTGCTGAAAACAAAAAATGGGTTGTTTTATCTGAATTCATTTGCAGACGACTTTTTTTTTTTTTTTTTTTTGCTTGGGTATTAATATAGAACTGATGTTGGAAATGATGGAAATAGAATCTAAAAGTACAAACTTGGTTTAAACTTAATAAATTCTCATAAAATTTGGATAAAACTAATTACATGATATTCAGCAATAGAAAGAAAACTCTTATGTTTCCTTTAGAGTRGAGRGTTGAGATCTGTAGAGTCAGTGAGGTGAAGTTTCTGGGTGTCATTGATGAAAACCTGACATGGAGACCTCATACATTACTTAAGAACAAAAATAGCCAAATCTATTGCATTACTGCATAAAGTAAAGGAATTATTTAATGATAAAGCACTATTTATATTATATAATTCAATAATTGTTCCACGTGATTTATTGTATCTGGGAGAAAGCATGCGAAACAATTACTATCCCATGTTTATTTTACAGAAAAGAGCCGTAAGAATTATTACAAGAAAACATTACTGTCATCCATCAAATATATTATTTCATCAATTGAAATTATTAAAATGTTATCAGTTGGTTGATTATAATATTTTTGCAGGTTATGTATAAGGCTCATAAAAATGAATTACCTTTGAACATTCAATCAAATTTTGTGAAGAGTGAAAGTTGTTTTAATATTAAGGGACTAGAATTTTTTGTGAAACCTAAAATTCGAACAAATTTGAAGGACAGATCAGTCAAAGGAATAAGATTATGAAATAATCTGGATAATGACTGTAAAAACACTGGCTCAATTAATTTGTTTAAGAGAATGACAAAAGTTAAATTGTTAAAGAATTATGAAATTGTATAATTTGTATTTGTAAGAGTTACTGTTTGAGGAGTTGAATTTTTGGTTTAGTTTTTTTTTAAATTGTTTGAAATTAATATTTTTTGCAAATAGGGGCAGATATAAGTTTTTTTTCTTCTGCTGCTACCTTTCATTTTATTTGATTTGTATTGTTGTATGTAAATGTGTTTTTTTTAATGAAATGAATAAAGTTAACAAAAAATAATTAGTTTAAAACACTACAGTTCACAAAACCTACTTGGTCTCCTCCATGTTGTAGTTGAGAGCATCATTTTCTGATTCAGCGTCTGTAAGGCCGTTGTTGGAAAGCTGTGTCTGGATACCACCCGGGGGCGTGCTGACCTCTTCACCTTGCACGAGAGCAAGTGCCACCTCGTCCTCGGTCACCGCTGCGCCCGCAAACAACTCAACAAATYTATAAACCGTTCAAACAGGCGAAACTGATCTGCTGGCGTAAACTCACCTTGGTTGTCAAGTTTCTGGAGGCGAGGCAGGCAGCGCAGCACGGTGAGGCGGTACTTGTTTGGGTCACTTCCACAGCAGGGGTTCTCAGCCAACCAGAGCACCCTGAGACGTGTCAGCGGACACAGATAATACAGCTCTGAGAGAGAAGGAATCATGTTCCTCCTCAGGTACAGCTCGCTCAGGGACAAACAGCAAGCCAGGGGAGACAGAGAGCTGATGCTGTTGACACTGCGGACAAAAATGACCAGTCAGGAACACTGAATCAAAGTGTGTGTGTGTGGACAGGTTTTTCCTACAACGTGGGGTATTTTTTACAAAAAAAAAAGCAGCCAGGTGGGGACGGGTCCAAATGCATGTTACAGGTGTGGGGTTAGGTTTAGGACCAAGGTTTAGGTTAGTTTTAGGGTCAGGTAGGTACCTGTGAAGTTAATTATAGAGTATTTGGTCAGGGTTAGGATATAAAGTCTAAAAAACATGAATGGAAGTCAATGGAAGGTCCCCACGGGGTCAAGAAACAAACATGTGTGTGTGTGGCCTTGTTTTTCCTACATCGTGGGGCCCAGTTTTAAGGAAAATGCAGCCTAGTGGGGACCGAGTGCTCCTTGTGGAGTCCAAGGCCTGGGCCCCACAACTTCGAAGGCTGATTTTGGGTTGGGGGGTTGGGTTTAGGACCAAGGTGTGAATTGAGTTTAGGTTAGTTTTAGGGTCAGGTAGGTACCTGTGAGGTTAGCCTTAGGGTTTGTGGTCAGGGTTAGGATATAAAATTACCAAAAAATGAATGGAAGTCAATGGACGGGCCCCACAAGGATATGAAAGCAACTTGTGTGTGTGTGTGTGTGTGTGTGTGTGTGTGTGTGTGTGTGTGTGTGTGTGTGTGTGTGTGT